AAAGGGATTTTGTCTTATTTACTGGCCTAGCCCCACTGCCTGGCACATAGTGGCATTCTAGAACTTCAGAAGGGAAGACACCTCGACTGGGCTGGTAATGAGGCTCCTGGCCCCAGCTTCAGAGGTGCCCTGCTCTGCCCTGTTCGGTGTGTTGGGCTGGGACTCTGCAAGCCGCCTTCCTGCATTGCTGCAGGCTGGGGAGGGGCCCTTGTTCCAGGCAGCTTCTGCTCCTGCAGACCCCACTCCACAGCTCTTTCCTCCACCCCTGGCTGTAGGTTCCCTCTCGGCAGTTGGTGCCAGTTTCTGAGATGTATTTTTTGAACGCCCAGAATCAGCATCATGACTCCCTCTGAGAGGTACCAGCACGAGCCAGCAGGCACCCGCTCCTCAGAGTCTGGGTCTTAGCCTCATGGGGTCCCCCCTGCAGGATTGAAGGTTCTGAGGATCCCAGCTCTTTTCTTTGTCTCTCCCCCATCCGCAAGCACTGGAGCTGCTCCTGCAGTCACCTCCATGAGTCCTCAGTGCCCCCTTTTAGCCTGTTTGATCTTCTAATACCTGCTGGACAAGTCTTTATATGTAACTAGAGGCCTGGTGCACGGATTCATGCATGAATGGGGTCAGGTCGGCCCGCCCCAATCGGGGCTGATCAGGCCAGGCCAGCCAGGGGGAGGGGACTCGGGCCATTGGTGGGCTGGCCCCGACCCCTGGTCAAACTCCAGGTTGAACTCTCGGTGGAGGGGTCAATTTGCATATTAGCCTTTTATTACATAGGATTCTCACTGATAAATGGGCATGGGCTGTGTCTCCCGGCTGCACAGTGACACTGTGACTGAACCTGTGCCTGGCCATGCCCCTCTCCACCCCACATCCCAGCCCACAGCCATGGCCACAGAGGGAACTCAACTCTTTCCAGGATGTTTGTCTCCATCCGGTGGAGGGGTTAATTTGCATATTAGCCTTTTATTACATAGGATTCTCACTGTTAAATGGGCATGGGCTGTGTCTCCTGGCTGCACAGTGACACTGTGACTGAACCTGTGCCTGGCCATGCCCCTCTCCACCCCACATCCCAGCCCACAGCCATGGCCACAGAGGGAACTCAACTCTTTCCAGGATGTTTGTCTCCATTCTCTCTCCATGATGCTTCAGGAGACAAGGGTTTAGGATCAAAACGGACAGCTGCTTGTTTCTTGCACTATTAAGGCAAACTCTTTCTCTCTCACACTGCCAGTCACTTGAATTTCGAACCCTGTGAGCGAGATTTGAAATAAATTTCCAATATCAAGTGGTTTTGGATTCAAATTCATCCTCAGCTGTGTGGCCACCTACAAGCGACTTTCCCTCTCTGAGCCTGTTCCCTCATCTGTTGAATGGGTAGCATAACAGTACCTGCCCTTTCAGGCTTACAGTAAGGATTAGAAATGGGGAACGTAGATACTTGGACCAATTGCCGGCACCTGGAAGGCACTCGTGGATTCTGCCGTCACTGTTATCATTGTGGGGATGGCCTCTCAACCCGCTGAAGGCCAGCACGCTTGTCCTCTCTGAGCCTTGGACTAGGGAGGTCGGCACACTCTACTGGGCCCGGATGCCACCTGGAGCCCCCACCTGCCTCTCCTTCCCCCTGGAACTGGCCTGGCCGGTAGATTCCTGTAGCTGGTCCCAGGTGGAGAGATAACTCGGCCTTCCCGAGTCCCTTTGGCTGATGCACATCTGTGTCAGGGAGGCTAATTACAACCCTGCTAATGGCCTGATTTCCCTGGTGCCACCTGAATATTCCAGGAGCACGTGGCCTCTCTTTCCTTGCAGTCACGTGTTCCTTGAGCAGAAAACAATTCTCTCCTGTTGTGCGTTTCACTCGGTCACAACTTGCCTTCCTTTGCTGAGAATGTTCCTGGCACACTCACCACCTTGCCCACATTTCTGGGGATTTTGCTGTGTGATGTTGTGGATGCTGCTGACCCTCTCTGGGCCTGAGCCGTTCATCTAAGACTGAGTTCCAATACTTGATGCCTCGCTGAGATCAGAGGAGACTCTGAAATGTTCCGTGTTTGAAACTCCAGGTTGAACTCTCGGTGGAGGGGTCAATTTGCATATTAGCCTTTTATTACATAGGATTCTCACTGATAAATGGGCATGGGCTGTGTCTCCCGGCTGCACAGTGACACTGTGACTGAACCTGTGACTGATCATGCCCCTCTCCACCCCACCTCCCAGCCCACAGCCATGGCCACAGAGCGAACTTAACTCCTTCCAGGATGGATGTCTCCATTCTCTCTCCATGATGCTTTAGGAGACAAGGGTTTAGGATCAAAACGGACAGATGCTTATTTCTTGCACTATTAAGGCAAACTCTTTCTCTCTCATGCTGCCAGTCACTTGAATTTCGAACCCTGTGAGAGAGATTTGAAATAAGTTTCCAATATCAAGTGGTCTTGGATTCAAATTCATCCTCAGCTGTGTGGCCACCTACAAGCGACTTTCCCTCTCTGAGCCTGTTCCCTCATCTGTTGAATGGGTAGCATAACAGTACCTGCCCTTTCAGGCTTACAGTAAGGATTAGAAATGGGGAACGTAGGTACTTGGACCAATTGCCGGCACCTGGAAGGCACTCGTGGATTCTGCCGTCACTGTTATCATTGTGGGGATGGCCTCTGAACCCGCTGAAGGCCAGCACGCTTGTCCTCTCTGAGCCTTGGACTAGGGAGGTCGGCACACTCTACTGGGCCCGGATGCCACCTGGAGCCCCCACCTGCCTCTCCTTCCCCCTGGAACTGGCATGGCCGGTAGATACCTGTTAGCTGGTTCCAGGTGGAGAGATAACTCGGCCTTCCTGAGTCCCTTTGGCTGATGCACATCTGTGTCAGGGAGGCTAATTACAACCCTGCTAATGGCCTGATTTCCCTGGTGCCACCTGAATATTCCAGGAGCACGTGGCCTCTCTTTCCTTGCAGTCACGTGTTCCTTGAGCAGAAAACAATTCTCTCCTGTTGTGCGTTTCACTCGGTCACAACTTGCCTTCCTTTGCTGAGAATGTTCCTGGCACACTCACCACCTTGCCCACATTTCTGGGGATTTTGCTGTGTGATGTTGTGGATGCTGCTGACCCTCTCTGGGCCTGAGCCGTTCATCTAAGACTGAGTTCCAATACTTGATGCCTCGCTGAGATCAGAGGAGACTCTGAAATGTTCCGTGTTTGAGTTACTACTAAGGGAGGTTAAAATCTGGAGCTTGGCGCCGTGATCACCAAGCTTTATCTGCACGGCCCCTACTCCCCTGTAGGATTGTTTTAGGGCACAGAGGCAGGGGTGGCAACGCCACCAGCAGTGGCAGCAGTAGGAGCAGCAGTCATGACCTTTGCCACTGACAAAATGGCTTACTCCAGCAGAACCTATGTTAAGCGCATGGACTTCATTTAAATCTGCCCAAATCCTGTGAGGTAAGGATCATTATCCCCATTTTGCAGAAGGAAAAACTGAGGCTCACCTGCTAGCTCAATAGCTGCTAAATTGCAGACCTTAGAATCCCAGGTCTGTCTTTGGCCTTTGCACTTGTGGTTCCTGGGCCCTAACAGTGATCACCCCAGAGAGCTGTATGGCCGGTTTGGGGCTCTCTGCTTAAATGTCATTTTTATAGAGAGAAGCCTTCCTCGATGGAAATAGGAGCTCCTGTCACTCTCCACCCAACTGGGCTTTCTTTTTCTTAAAGCACAATCCTGTGTATAGACACAGGTGTTGACTGACCTGTCCTTCCACCACGCGAATCTGAGCGCCATAAGCCCAGGGACGTTGCTTTGTCCACCACCATACACGGCGCCTGGAGCCGAGGCCAAGGTGATGGCATGGTTATACATACTTCACAGGTGCAGACCGAACACATGAGCAGCTAAACACCTGGGGCCAAGGCCCATGCCCTTAACCAGCATTTGCCAGACCCTTCAAACAACAGGTGCCACTGTTTCTTTTCCCCCAGGAGGCCGTTGGGATTCCAGATTCCTGAGCTGGAGTTCAAATGCAGACACCTCCCCCCACCCCCCCAAAGAAACCACACAGTAGAGCGTGAGTTCCAGCTCATCTGGCATTTTCTCAGCTGCTAGTCTCCATTCTCTTCCTCTAAACCAGTGGTTCTCAACCTTGGCTACACATTAGAATCACCTGGGGATCTTTTTAAAATCTTGATTTCTGGGCCTCATCCTCTGGAAATTCTGTTTTTTTGTTACTAATGTGGCCCCACCCCATAACAAAGAAACAGAATTTCCGGAGGATGAGGCCCAGAAATCAAGATTTTAAAAAGATTCCCTGGTGATTCTAATGTGTAGCCAAGGTTGAGAACCACTGCTCTAAACATTCCAGAGAAGCAGGTACCTGGGAGACAGCTGATGGGGAGGAAGAAAAAGACCTTCCCAGGGCCTGGCTCAGTTCAGCTGAAGGTAGACTTCTTTCCTGCCGTTCACGTGTAGCCGCAGTGCAGTGGCCCACGGTGCCCAGGGTGATAGCCCAGGAAGACTTTCTGAAACCCCCGGGGAAAGTCGTGCCCTGTGTGCAAGGTGGGGTGAGCCGTCCCCGCAGACCCCTTGCAGCTCAGCCTGTGATACGGAACGGCAGCAGGACTTTTTATCAAGCGACAGTTGGACTTCGCGTGTGCACACTGCCTTGCAGTTTCACTTCTAAGAGGATTGTACTGCAGTCAAATTGTGTGATTGTGGACATTCCTTTATGGCAGTGGTTCTCAACCTTGGCTGCACATTAGAATCACCTGGGAATCTTTTTAAAATCCTGATTTCTGGGCCTCATCCTCCAGAAATTCTGTTTCTTTGTTATGGGGTGGGGCCACAACATTAGTAACAAAGAAACAGCCAAGGTTGAGAACCACTGTTTTATGGCATCTCTGAGGACTACTTTCTTCATCGAGAAGGGCACTAATCACACTCCTCCCCTATCCTGATCGAAGCACACAGGCTCTCACCTGCTCTGCAGGGTGGAAGCTGATATGGAGCAGCTGACTCCAGTGGGGGCACTGGAGCAGGAGGCAGCCAGAGGCAGGAGAAAGGCCGGCCGCGTGCCTCGCTGCCCACTCCACCCGACTTGTCCGTGATGCGCCAGGTCACTGAGAGGCTGCCGGCAAACTTTCCACTCCGTGCCCAGCGGCAGCTTCTGCTCCTGTGGGGAGTTCCCCCAGCTCTGATCAAGGCACAAAACAATCGATCTATTAGATCAAGCAGGAAGGAGGAGGCAGGAGGGCCAGCCGGGAAGCTGCGGAACGGAGTGTTTTGGCATAGCAGTCCCCTCCCTTCTGACTGGAGTATTAATTGCTACATTGCCACTGCCTGGAAGAAAGACAGCCAGCGGAGCCTGGGAGAGCTCCTGCTCCCTCCCTGCTCGCTCCGCTGCACGCTCCTCCTGGTTCCCTCGGAGCGCCCTGCGCCCTGGCAGCGCTGGCCCAGCCCTGGCATCCCTGGGTCCTCCTGTGGGTAGCACTTGAGTGGAGGGAAGGACAGCGGAAGGGAGCAGACAGCGTGCCCTGCAGGCTCTCTGGATGCAGAAGCCGGGCTCCCTGCAGAGGCAGCTGTGCGGTGCCAGGAGCTCCTGTGGTGCGTCCCTCTCTCAGGGCTCGCCCAGGCGGGCTCCAGGTGCCAGGGGCACGCAGAGCGGAAGCCTTCGCTTCTGGGCATTGACAGCAGAGCCTGCCTCCCCTCTGCCACCATGAGCGGCTGCTCCAAAAGATGCAAGCTTGGGTTCGTGAAATTTGCCCAGACCATCTTGAAGCTCATCACCGGGACCCTCAGCAAAGGTAGGAAGCCTGGCCCGGACCCTCCTTTTCTGCCTTGATGGGGATCTGGCTGGTCGGGGTGCCTCGGCGTGGCCAGTGGGGCCGTTCTGGAGTGCTTGTGTTCCGAGGAGGCAGGGAGGGACTGGTGGCTGGGATTTGGGGTTGCTGACAGCCTGGGTCCTGGCCTGGGCGGGCGGGCACCCGGCCAGGGAGCTCAGCTGGCGCTAATTGTCTGGAACTTTGGAAATGGGTTTGGTGGTGTGTGGCCGATCGGTTACAGTCGGGCAGAGGCAGAGCGCCCTTCCCGGAGCACTGGAAGCTGCTTAGCGTGACTAGAGTTTCAAGAAGTTATCCGCAGAGTGTGTGTTTTGTTGATAAGAGAGACTTGGTGCGGGGGCTGTGAGTAACCGAGAACGGAGATGCTGGAGGGCCAGCAGGAGGTGGCACTGGGCCCTGGTGGGGGTGGGACCCGTCGCTCTGGGCTTGATGTACCGAGCTTTCTCGCGGGGTTCCAGCGTGCTGCGTTTCGGGGGCTCTGGCCATCGGTCTGCCTCTTGGACCCCTGTCCCTCCGCATCACCTGCCTGTGTTGATGTCTGGCCTCTGCTTCTCTAAGAACGGGGGTGGCAGCCAGTCCCCAGGTTTGCCTCCCTGGCAGCCCAGAAAGGGCGGTCGGTCGGGACTACAGCCAGGACTGTGTGTCTGTGACTCTGCCCCCGGGGCAGAGGGGAGGCTGTCTTCTCAGGGGCCGTCCCTGCCTCTGGAGCCCCATCTTCCACCCTGACCAGGGAGGTGAGGCCCTCGGGGACACCCTGGCAAACTTTCTGGAGAGAATATTTAAAGGGACAGCAGCAGCATGATGTGGCTTTGCTGGCTGGAAAAAAATGTCTTTAAAATTCACACCTGATTCAGGAGGTGCGGTTATGGGGGAGATGCATTGGAAGCAGGAGGCAGGAGATTTGATCAGGATTTTAAAACTTGAAGATGAGCGAAGAGACGGGCCGTGCGTGGCAGCTCTAATAATGACATGGCTCTAACCCAGCTGCCTCGTGGGTCTGGCCTGCTGCAAACTGAGAGGCGGGTGTGTGTGTGTGGTGGGGAGAGAGGGTGAGATGTTGCTATCTACTTTCTCAGGCCCTTTCGTCGCTCCTGTTCTGTCCCCACTGCCCTCCTCCAGGGAGCCCAGGGGGACTGCACCCCGAAGGCTGAGGGTCAGCTGCCTGGCAGCACTATTGGGAGGCCTGCGTGGGATGGACTGACGTGAGGAGGAGTGTGCAGAGGGCTGGGGAGATTGCACAAGGTCCCACCACTCAATCCTCTGAGACAAATTGAGGCTCCACCCCCCGTCTCCCCCCCCCCCCGCATCTCTGGCACCAGGATCTCAGGAGTGTGGGGTGACGGGCAGCATCTCAGGCCAGTCTCTGCTTCCCAGAAGTGCAGCAGCAAGAGCTTGGGTCCGAGTTTAGAAACCTGGGTCTCAACGCTGACTCTGCTCCCTGGGCAAGCCCCCGCCTCGCTGAGCCTGCTTCCTGGTGTGGGAGATGTGTCCGTTACCTTCGGCCTGTCTACTCCCAGCACTGCCTCGAGGACCCAGGAAGCTGAGACGGGGATTCCTTTACAGAGGGTGTTGCAGGGACCACACATGAGGGTGTGGTCAGGATTGAGATGGGCCTGGGTCTGGGGAGGGTGCCCCACGCCATCCCCTCTACAACCCCAAGGTCAGAAGCGCCTTCATTTAGCTGCAGGTGGGTCTGCTCACTCCAGAGGGATGTTCTGCAGCAGGAGGGGTGAGTGTGAGAAAGTGAGTCCGTCAGAGAGTACTTGCAAAGGGGCCTGTGTGTGTGTGTGTGTGTGTGTGTGTGTGTGTGTTGAGTGTGTGTATGAGAAACAGAGGACTAGAGATGGAGAGAGAGGATGGACAGCTATCTGAATTCAAGAGCATGAAGATGCTATCTTCTGCCTACAATCGTCTCAATGTTTGTTTATTACCGACTCTGTTGCACACTCATTACTAGACATGGGACACATGGATGAATAAGATGCAAGCCCTTGCCCTAATCGGTTTGTCTCAGTGGACAGAGCATCAGCCCACAGACTGAAGGATCTCAGGTTCAATTCCAGTCAAGGGCACATACCTCAGTTGCAGGCTCAATTCCTAGCCCCTTGCGGGAGGCAGCCAGTCTCTCATATAGATGTTTCTCTCTCTATCTCTCCCCCTTCCTTCCACTCTCCCTAAAAATATCTTCAGGTGAGGGTTAACAAACAAACAAACAAACAGAAAGGATGCAAGCCCCCCATCAAGAAATGGGTATTCAGGTGGGGGCACGGACGGAGGACACAGGCACCGCCTGGACATGACGCTGATGGAGGCATGGGGGCCACGGGGCCAGGGAAGGGCAGCCTGGGGCAGAGCTGAGATGAGCAGGGGGCAGGGCTGGGCAGATGGAAGGACTGTCGGGCTCTGCAGAGAAACCAGCCAGCGGGTCAGGACAGCCCCTCTCTCCTCTCGGAATCCCAGACACTAAGATCCATGTCGCATGGAAAGTGCCCCATGGGAACCCGCACCAGGGACCCACCCTGGGGACCCGCACCGGGACCTGGCCTTTCCCTGACCTGCCTCAGTCCTGAGCGTTCTGTGGCTGAGGTTGGGGGAGGGGCCCACAGCCGGTGCCAGGACAGGACTGTGTCTCCCAGCCCCGCACAGAGCACCAAGTGTTTACACAGCCTGGCTCTGCGCCAGGCAAGCCCCAGGAAGCTGGTGTACTGCCCACCCCAGGTGTTTGCTAAATATTTGCTAAATAAATGGCTATGGGAGCAGGGCCAGGCCTGGAGCAGGTGAGCGGAAAAAGATCTGTCTAATACAGTGGTTCTCAACCTTCTGGCCCTTTAAATACGGTTCCTCAAGTTGTGACCCAACCATAAAATTATTTTCATTGCTACTTCAAAACTGTAATGTTGCTACTGTTATGAATCGTAATGTAAATACCTGATATGCAGGATGGTCTTAGGCGACTCCTGTGAAAGGGTCGTTTGACCGCCAAAGGGGTCGCGACCCACAGGTTGAGAACCGCTGGTCTAATGTATAGACCAGCCCTCAGTGGATTTAGATGAGGCTCTGTGTGGGCATATTACATTTGCTTAAAGATTTGGGGGTTTAATTGTGTTTTTGCTTATTCATTATTTATTGCACTGAGTCCTACAATTGCCGTAATCCAATCCTTAGAAGGCGTTTCTTTGTCCCTCTCAGGACTGAGGAGCATAAAGGTACCACAGGACCAGGTGCCTCCTGCTGGTCCTGGGACCACGTATTGTTTCTTAGCTGCCTTGGGCATACCTGGGGGACAGGGGGGGCCACAACCCCTTCCCTGTCCTTCCTGTCCCTGAAATCGGCTTCCCCCACTTGATGCCAGCAATCCCCTTTCCTGGTGGTCCAAGCTGCTCTGTGGCCCAGAATCCTCATCGGTGCCCTTTTTAAAGATGAGCTGATCAGGTTCTTCTGCTCAAACCCCCACCCTTGACCTTGACCTTTTCCTGTAAGAACATGGTTGGGAAAGGCCGTCTTCCCCACCGGACTTAGGGACTGCATGTGCTTTGCACACCACTGTAGCCAGAATTCCTGCCTAGTGCCCAGCCCAGAGTGGGCGCTTCACCAGCCGTGTAGGATGAACAGAGCAGCACCGCCTGGCACGGATGCCAGCCAGGGCCCTGAGATGAGCTTGAAGTCGGAGCTTTCTAGGACGCACCATGCAGGCCCCTGTCCCAGCAGCTCAGCAAACGTGCTCTGAATCTGCCCACGTGCAGCCAGAGGGTGAGCCTTGGCCAGACCATTCATTCAGAACTGTGCCCGAGCAGGCTTCCTGGCACCCCCACTCCTGCCCCTTCAGCTCCCCTTTGATTTGTCTTACATGCTGGATGTCTCCAAATTTAAAGAGTTTCCCTTGCATTAAAAAAAAAAAAAGAAGAAGAAGAAGAAGTTTGCAAACCAGCAATGCAGGGGAAAGGACAATGGGTGCCGGCCTGGGCCATCTGGGTCCTCGGCACACTGGCTGGGACACCTCGTGCTGGGTCCCTTGCCTCGCTGCACTATCACATGGAGTCACAAGGCCTCCTTACAGGGTTCACGCGGCTGTGTATACACGGCTCCCTGCATGGCAAGTGCTCAGCAGACGTTCTTCCGTGCTGCAGTTGATAGCTGATCCTCTCAGGGTTGTGAGCGCCGTGGACCTGCGTTCCTCACTCACTGCTGGCTTTTCCAGCACTGGGCACAGACTCCGAGGGGCATCTCTAGTCTCTAGAACAGCCGTGGGCAAACTACGGCCCGCGGGCCAGATCCGGCCTGTTTGAAATGA